AATAATATGTATGTAATAATAAAATTTTTAGTGTCTATAAAGTACTAAAAATGAAGGAGACAGATGAAGGAAACTGATACATAATTTAAAGCTCAGTGTTTACTCTCTTGCGAGATATTTCTCATAAGCACGTGAAAATATAGTGAGCAAACATATTTCGACAATCGTCGGAAATCCGAATTAATATACCTATACGAAGTTAGTTCCCACTTTTAGAATTAACGTATTCTGAGAATCGTGCTGAAATTATGCTAGGTTTGTTGAATTGACAAAAAAATTATTAGTTTTCCATTTTTTAATGTATTTTTCATATTACGATATTAATATTCGAGCATAATGCAGCACAAACCTAGCACAATTCACACAGCATAATTCTCAAAATACTTTAATCCTAAAATGGAAGGGCTAACTTCGTGTAGGCAGTTAATGCGGGGCTATACTCTCGCGCGATTGCGTATAAAAAATAGTCGTTTAATGTCAAGGTTGCATGTGAGAGTGAAAGTAATCGCTCCCAATACACAATTATGCGCGGAAATACTATAATTACATAAGCAGCATTGTCTTCATATTTATAATTTTTCTATCAAGTTATATCTGACTAGGAAAAAAATTTTCGACAAGAAATAATTAACGCTTTTAAAAACATTTTTAACTACTTATATCGAAATTTATAAATAACTAAATTTTAAATTTTCCTTTTTTACGATTTATTAAATAAATCTTGTATTGTGTTATAAATTATTCATGTAACACGTTTTTTTATAGCCACATAATTTTTCAAAATGTCTTCCGTATAGAAACATCTAATAAATACTTTATAAAACTCATCGAAATATTAATACCTTCATGAACTTCCTCACATTAATGTTCCAGAGAGGTAGCTTGTGAGAAAACAGAATGAAAAAAATGCCGAGAATCATTTCCGCTCAATGACAGAGATGCATATTTGATCAGCGAGAAAAAGAGACTGAGGATGAGAATTGATCACGTAATAAACATAAAGAAAGAGATCTGAGGTACCAAGGCGAGCTTGACCTTCACCCGACTACGTGGTCCCGCCTACTTTTCTTCTTTTGCTCCTCGATGGGCCCCACGAGACACGTCCCGAGCCTGTTTCACGGTGCCCCTCGCATATAATAGCACGAGCTTGGCTTCCGTTGATATTCGATAACCGGCCGGCTTTAATGCCGCAGTTCTGCGATTAGGTCTTGACCGAGATAGCGACGGTTGAAAATCAGACATACTAGTCTTCTGACTAATAATACAAACTTTTTGCAAAGGTCTTAAGTACTGTGAGCAAGAAAACTGTCACCATGCATGCTTGACGTTCAGGTTCCATAAGTAAGATGAGAATTCTGAATTGAAGAAATAGATGAAATAATGGACTATTTAAACGCTGATCAAGTCCATCTTTCTGCTTATCTATTGGAAGTTTTCATCGTAAATATATATATATATATATATATATATATATATATATAAAACATTTTATCTTATCTTTTTATTTTAACATTTTATCAAAATTAATTTTTAACATTGTATTTTATCTTTTTATAGAAACTTAGTAAGTTTCTATATAATAAACTTAGTAAGAAACTTTTTTCTTTATATTTTAAAAACAATAGCATTTGTAAAAGATAGATAGATTTTAATTTAACAATAATATATGTAATAAATAATTTCAATAATTTAAAACAAATATATAAAAAGAACATTCATTTGGTAAATAAATGTTATTCTGTGAAATAGTTTGTATTTTCAAGACTTGTATGTGTATATTGAGAAGTGTATGTTCGTATGAAATTAACAATTTAATAAATTACGAATAAAAACGAAACAGTTTTTACACATTTTTAGAGATATAAATATAATGCCATACATCGCAAATTCATAAATGATATCTATCCTTTTACTTTCTACCTATAGATCTATCAAGGTCAATAAGTTGGAGTAACGAATAAATAATGATTTTTCAAATCTGTAGAAAAAGATTGTTTTTGAAAATCTTTATCACGAAACATGTATATGCATTTATACATTATATTCATCAGCACGTTTTACTCTTGCGATATACTAATTGCATATTAGACAACATAGTGACATCACCGATGATATATTCAATTGCGTCACTAACCAGTCGAATATCTTGTTCAAGGATGCGACAAACTACAATAATATCGTCGAGTAAGTCAATCGAATCGTTAATCTTCCAATACAAATATATAAGACCTCAAAATTATACGATGTTGACATTTTGCAAATGAGCAATTGCTTATTTCACAATGTTTGATGCTTTACTTCAAACTAAAAATGAAGGTTCTTTCACAATTAAAATGTCAGTCGATACTATTGGCTTTCTAAATTCTTCTCTTAAGCCTTATGTCCATGATCATGTGTAGCCAATCAACTTACAGTTTGTACAGAAAACCGGCAAGTTGATTGGCTACACATTCTCGATCCGAGAACTCGAACAAAGCTTATCGAGTGATTACAGATGTACACGTGATCGGACCCTGATACTGCAAACTCAATAAACCATTTGAATTTCATCGAAAATTTTGAAACCTAGTTTTCTCTCTCATATATTTTTGACATTCAATTTTAGATATTTTTTATTTCAATTTTACAAATTAAAATTTAAATAAAATTTATTAAAATAGAATCCATTGTCTTATATACATTTCTAAAACTTACAAAACTTGTAAATAATTAGACTTTAAAGAATATCAACGTTGTAATGTTTCTTGTTTAGAAAAAAAATTTGTTCTATATCCTTTAAAAGGAATGAATAAATATTGATATGACATGAGAAGATGCTTTATATTATATTATCTGCATTGATTTATTTAATTTGCGTTTTTTATTATAACGAAACTTTTAATCAGATTTAGACGAACAGAATTTAACGACCGATGATGTAACAGTTAGTTTGTTCAAAAAGTACGTGAACAGCATTATCCCATCACTACTCTCTGGTTTTCCGGGGTAGCCTGAGCGAGCGTCATCGATCCACAACCCTCTCGCTATATGCTCTACGATTGCTTTTATTTTGCTCGATGCAACCCACGTTCTAAAATGTTGATCCCGAATTCGAAAGTAAGAATGCAGAAATATTCTACATATTATTCAACTGCGCACGTTTCATTTAATTCATTTAGAAATATTTTACTACGAGATTTCACTACATATCAAAATTGTTTGTTCTCTGATTGTCATAGTATTAATAGAAATTCAAATCTGTCTTTAAAGCAACGAAATTAAATAATTATTTAATATACATAAAAGAATTAAAGTAACTGCGTCAACGTTTCTCGACTTTGTAATCGCGATCGAACGTTCAAATCTTGATTAAATCTTAACTGATATCACATTGCAAGCATTCTTTTTACGCGTTAACAGATCTATATCAATCTCCATGTGTAAGTAAAACCCACGATTAATTATTTGATGACACATGTTCTCAAATTTTGCCGACGAATCACTGTTTATAGCTTTCAACTACATTTTTTATCAAATATGTGCTAAACAAGCACATATTTGAAATTGATATTACAGATTTCGCGCTTAGCAATTGTGTTAATTTTAACTAAATTTAAAACTAAAATTGCATTCTATATTTATAATATAATTATAATAAACTTTGTAATAATCGAAAGATCGCAACTAAAAAACTTAAATCGTTTCACGAAAATAAATTAACTAAAGATTACTAAAGCTTTAAAATTTTTTTCAAGATTATGTATGGTTATGCACCGCGTGTAATTTTTCTTCCAGAGTCAATATTTCAATTTTAAATGCAATTTTTTTTCACTTCACATACGTAAGTACACATACAGTTTTCTACTCATTAAATTTATTTCTTTATATACAATTTTCCACAAATAATGAATAATTACATTTACTTTTACATTTAACCGTCATGATTTCTAATTATTTTTATAACATCATTTGTATTGTATCTACTAATTTAAATAATGTTTCTCATTAAACGAAAAGCGTGAAATATTATTGAATTAAAATCCAGGAGGAGATATCCAATTATTAATAAATTCGTCACTACTATAATATTAAAACATTATTTATACATAATTTAAATAAAAATTTAAAATAATATTTCTTATATAAGGTGACTGGACATATACCTATGTCAGGACATTAAATGTTGTTTTCTATCACAATATATTATAATTTAATTATACTTAAAAATTATTTTAAAAAGCATTTGAGATTAATAATCATATAAATATTAACAAAGTTAAATGTCCGGACATAGGTTTATGCCCGATTACTGGGAAGTTTACCTTATGTATGTAAGGAAAAGAAAGTATTTTTCCTACTGTTTCTTTCACACTGTTTACATCTACAACGTATTGCTTGTGTATGTAAATAAACTCAAAATAAAATCGCAGCGTTTAAATTTTAACTTTATTACAAGTATAATTTTACGTATTAATTCGATCAATTTTTATTGATAATTATTCCCATACAATTCCCTTGAATTCTTTAAAAAACTATAAATTCCTGACGTGCAAAAATCTACGGATCGATAAGTCCAATCTACGCAGAATCCGTGAAACGACGCAGACTCTGTTCACGTCACTCGCGGTAATCGTAACTACCACGTGGTGGTGTAACGTACCGAGAGACTCGTAATGTAAAAACCTGAACATTACAATTAAAAAGTCGGAAAATCGACTAAAAACTGGAAACTACTTGTTAAAATAAGTTTTTGGAATTTACTCATTAGAATAAATTTTTGTCAAATATTATATAAATAGATACATTATTCCCTAAACGTCTGTTTAAGGAATAATATATCTATTGTTTCTGTGTATTTTATGTATTAACATCGAAATTGAATATGGCATAATCATAGCAAATAAATATTTTAATAAATAATGATTGTTTTAATGATTATTAAAATTATTTTATCTGAAAAAAAATGGAAAATAACGTGACAATTATTATTATTTAAAATTACCGCCTTTCTGATCTTTAATAAAAAGAACAAAACTACATACGGCACTGCAATCACAATTTAATCATTTGTAGATATTTTTTAGAATAATTAAGAAAATAAAACGTTGTCATTTCTTAAATTGATTATTTGTCTCACTAATAAGTATACTGCATCGGCATTTTATTGCACTATTCACGATCAATCAATTGGATTCTTCCTACGAAGACAGGACGAATCTATTCTGCGACGTGTAGGATCCACCATGCACATGGGACTACTCACCGATATTAACAAGCCTGATGCCTTCGTCCTCCAAAAACTTAAGAGCGACGGACACGTTCTCCAGCTTCTGAGAACGAAAGGTGGGCCGCTGGTTGTGTTTCGGCAGCCGCTTTTGCGAGAGCACCTCAATGAGACTCACCAACTGGAGACCGTCAGACAGATCGCATTCCAGGTCGCCGATGTGCTTGTTCGCTACCTTCAATCGCTCGTTCGCCCATCTCGTGAAGGTGTTCTGTTGAATTCGCTTCCACTGCGCGTCCTCGGCCAGCTCGCGCTCGAACATCTCGTCCTCCTCCTCCTCGCCGGCGGAGTTCTCGCACTTAACTGACTTATCATTCTCATTCATTTTATCGGCTGGTCCGCTGCTACGCTCTCACGGATAAGGGTGGTGGGGTGTGCGCCCCTGTGTTAGTGCCTAAGGATCACAAGTGTTGGTAGTTACGAGTGCTATCGGTGACGTAGACAAAATGTAGCTGTGTTGGTGACTCGAGAAGTAGCGATGGGCACAAACTAGAAATCAAGACTTTGAACGTGTATTGGAAAGACTTGTGAATACATGTACAATGTACACACTGAAAAAAGAAGTATTTAATTTTTAAATAAAAGATTTTATTCTTGTTTTCATTTTTTAAACACTTAAAGACATTTTAGTTTTAAACTTTTTCAATAAACAAAACACTATATGTTCGAATTGAAAATTTTTTAATTCGAATACATAGTGTTTTATTTATTAAAAAAATTTAATACTCAACATTTAAGTGTTTAAAAAATAAAGATAAGAATGAAACATTTTAATATCTTAAAATTAGACACTTTTTTGAATGTATGTGTTAATTAATATTGTTTCAATCTATATGAAACAATACTGTGTTTCAATCTATATGATTTTTAATACACGAGTACACGAATACGCGAGTATACGCGTGCATCGAAATTTACGTCGTAAATGTTTTTAAATACGCAAATATCTTGTACACTAATAATTACATAAATAAAATTGTACATTAATAATTACACGAAATAAAATATGAATACATTACATGTGCACTCGTACATTTCAATATACGTGTAATCGTATATTGAAATATATGGATATACGTGCCTTTTAAACCTTCTTTGAGAATGTATTTCTTAGAAATGAAATATCTTATATCATATGGAAATTGATTTTCCGGAGCGGCATCTATACAGTGAAATTTTAGAGCGATTTAAACTTTAAGCTTACTACATACTGAACGCGATGAGCGACGAGCAACGAGCGTTATCCAATGAAAGCTCTGCTTTTTGTCACATAACAATGCAAAGCGGAGCTCTGATTGGATATCGCTCGTCGCTCATCGTCCAATGTGTAAGCATAAGCCTAATAAGTAAGAAATTGAGAATAAGTGAGAAATTGACCACAGTCAAATGCCATGTGAGAAGAATACTCGACTGTAATTGATCAATTTTTTACTCTCACTTTTTTCACAAAATTTATTCCGCTTATTGTAGACCAGACCTAAAGCTTAAAATTTAAGTTTTACACTTTAAAATTCCATTAGACGCTGCTTGAGATTATTCATTGTTATTTTGATATCAAAATCTTTGATTATGATAAATAAAATCAGTTTACAACCTAGCTTATTTGTTGATATACCAACTGATATTCGGATACACATTCAAATTTAATTTAAATTGAATTTTTATTTTGATTCTGTAATGAATATTCAAATAAAATTTTATAACTCATTAGTTTTTGATTTAATTTCATCATTGTTAATTAAATTAATTCAAAAACATGTTGATTCACTATTTTTGAAAAATAAAAATTAGCGAAAATATAAATAAAATTTATAACAGATGATATCTGCTAGTTAAGTACAACAATAGAAGTCTATTTAATTGTTACAGAACATTATTATACATCAGAGAAACATTGTTTTAATCGTTTACCGAACATTTTAGAGAAAACTTAATGATATTTCAAGTTATATTACAGGTGATCGATTTTATTAAACTATGAATAGCAGTCTTAATTGAGTTCTTCAATTCTTTTTTAGATAAATAGTCCACAAAAGTTTAAATATATTTCCATTTACTTCAAATTTATGTAAAAATAAAATATATATAAATATATTTTTATTATCCCTCATTTATTAATGGATTTTTATTATCTGTTATTTATTGATTTTTCCATTTATCTATTTGAAAATTGGTAACAGACATCGAAGTTGTTCGAAAGAATATTGTGACCATCACTAGCACGAGCACGCATACGTGCGCAGAAGAAGAGGTGGACGTTGGTGAACTTACCTGCACGGCCGTGTGCCGGCAAATCAAACGCAGTTCTCTTCCTTAGTATGGGTGCGTGCGTGCGCGCGCGTGTGTGAGATGCTGACAAGAGATCAGCTGGAGCAACTCCGTTTCTGCTGATGAATCGTCGGGTATACGTTCGCCAGCGGAGATCAACGCTTCAAATTACTCAGGATGCGTTGTCGAGAAGCTTTTCTTGATAGCGTCGTCTCCTTGAAGGGCCTTTTCAGTCGCTCGTCCTGATTCACAGCGACGATTCACCTGCATAATAAAATATCGCGATTAAAAAAGATTGTCGACGTTCAAAAGACGTTTGATCGAATATGATGTAACACGCTTCGGCGTAAAATAAAATCGAAATCGATAAAACCTCGCAATCGAGAATCGTGACTTATTCATAAAAAAGGAAAATAAAATTTGGAATTATTTTCAAGCTGGAGAAAACTGTTTAAAGAATAGATTATAGAGATATATAAATTTAAATGGAGGGGAGGGGGGGGGGGGGGGGGGAGGGAGTAGAAAACGATATATTATTTTTTTTTATTAATAAAATGTTTTTGTTTCCTTGGATGCAGTTAATTGACTCAATCCAATGAAGGTGAACGGAATCGATCAGTTTCACTTGAGTGAAGATTCATGCACGTGTTCGACCAAACTGTCCAGCCTCAACACGATTTACGCGTTTGGCCTATCCATAAATAAAGTACCTAATTATAAATAGCAACACATTCCGAGGAAATGGCCGGTGTATCTTTTTTTATTTACGCATGCTCTTCTATATTTATTATTAGTATATTTAAATGTATTTCTTACTGGAAAGCATTCAGATTTAGATCTCAATGAATAAGAGAAGAGAAAATTATTTCAGATTATTAAGACATCCATTTAAGAGAAGTAAATCTGCTTTAAAGTTATATCATCGTCTTCTACGATCCATCGGTCGGATTTTCCGCGCATAATAGAAAATTAATCGGACGCATGTTAAATTACAAATCTCGGCGCACGGCGAGATGCCAAGTTATTTTTAGTACACGCACGTATACGTGACTTTTTTCCAAGGTCTGATATTACATCCAAAAGATGAGCCTCATAAGCGCAAACGTTGTTGTCTGCGAACAATGACTGGATAACATGATTAAAGTTATCTTTTTACATAGAGACGGATTAGTTTACATCGCATCAAAATACATTTGCGTATATAACTTAATAATAAATTCGGTAATATATAGCGTAATACGTTTCGCACTTTAATATCACGACGTTGTAATGTAATAAACAATTTCCTGGACGAAATAAACATTTTTGTGAATAAGAATCGTGTTTTTATATAATTATCTAAAGTTCTCCGATGTTTTTTGTTCTTAAAATATCATTATATTATAAAATAAATAATATAATATCTATCATATTATTAATGTGGAATTCACAATGTTCACGCATATAATATATTAATACTATAAATATATTGCTACCTAAAATTATCTGTGAAAGTTATTACGAGATGATGTGATGATGCTAAAATACGATTTTTTTTTATCACGACACTCCAAAGTCAAGAAGGAAATTCGAGATATGCTTCACTTGAACATAAATTGCTCAAGTTGTCATCGAATTAAGAGATTTTTATATTTATTCTTTCACATTAAGTACGATTCCCATTAATTCTTATAGTAAATTATACAAATAATATGCAAATAAATGAAAATTGATCTTACATATCTCTAATAAAAATAAATAAAATTAATTTATATTAATATATAGTTATATAAAATTGTTGTAATATTAATTTTTCAACATATGAATTAATTTATTATTTAAAGAAATTATTTCAATAATAATTAAAATGATTACATTGCTTTAACGTATTATTTGTAATAAATTCCGTTTTTTTTTATTATTATATTTACAAACTTTTCTAAAATTTACTTTGCACAATCAGCAAAATATCAGTTACTGAAACATAAAACAAGCGTGTATAAATTCGTGAACAGAAAATTTACACAGAATAGAAGTACTATTTTTTCAACGAATTCGCAATAATTCGCGAATTTGTGAGATAATCGGAAAACAATCACATCACACACCAACAGCAGAAAGTATTCTTTATTTCGTACGAGATCGACTAACTCTCTATCAGTGCTCCACGAAAAACTGCCGACGAGGAATCACGCAGGTTTCCCTTATTTCATTTAAAACTCTCTCCGCGCTGATTCCCTCTAAAGGCATGTACCAGTGAATTGCGAAATGCGACGAATAAATTGTGAGCGAGTCGCGAATGAATCGTAATGAGATAATTATACGTAAACCTTCTTTAAAGGTAGACAATTAAAGGTAGACAATTAAAGGTACTGCAAAAACAATAAAGTATTAGAATTTAATTATCGACTTTCGCGATAAAAAAAAACACTCTTTTACATCTAACACTTATTTTGTCTAGAACAATTGAGAAATGAAAAGTAATCACTTATGTATGTTGTACTTATAATCAATGCACGTGCACTATACCTAATTTAAATCAATGTTTAGCCGGTGAGTTTTGAAAAAAAATACTTCGTGCCTAGCGAGGTGCTATTGCTATTAACAATGACGTCAAGTTAAACTTGATAAAAATTGATTTATGTGACTGCCCACCTCTCTTCAAATCGCAACACAATAATACCTATAAAATATAATAATGTAATGACAAATTTTGTAATAAAGAATTGAATTCTTTCTGATAAAAGTTTACTATGCGTTTTAATTATATATATAGACAATTATATAGAAAGAAATCTCATCAAGTTTAAGAAACGCATTACGTTTTACGAAGAGATAACGAGCTCTCTTTCTGTTGCAAAAATTTATCGAACATTTTATTTTACCAAGAGATTTATTTCGATGAAAACTCGCGATAAATAACAATCTCACAAATATTCACTCAAACAGAGCAAATTAATATATAATATTTAAAAACATTCTGTCTTAAAAATATGATGGATTTGCTTCGATATCTTGAAACGAGAATAGCTGACGATCGTTTTCAGATTAATCTAACTCCTTTTTTATATATACTGTAAAATCTCAGAAATAAACGCGCGAATTTATCGATAAAAATAAAGTATAAGTGTAAATTGTCCTGTCTTGTCCCGTCTTTCACTTTCGCAGTTGATCAATCGTTCAAAAATTAATCGTAATCGGAGGAACAATGAAGATCGAATGCCGGCGCGAATCTTACATGTACACAAGGCGATCTTTTTGGATCAGATCGATCGACGCGGCGCTCTCGATCGGCACGGCGCGGTTCGCAGACGATTACTGATGTTCACGCCGTCCGCGAACCGGGAGTCGAATACACGTCGAAAGAAGTTAGGCCGGCTACACACGATCAAGTAAACTTGCACAAGTGGCTTGCGCAAACATACTTGACAAGTTTACTTGAATTCCAGTGAACACAAAGTTACATGTCACGTACCTGTCAGTTGTAATTTTCCACCCAACAATATAACTGTAATATAACACGTGTGTTATATCTCGTTGAGTGGGAAATTACAATTAACAGGTACGTTACATGTGACTTGTGTTCACCGGGATGTGTGAAGCCGGCCTTACTCGGATCCGTAAAGTTATCCGAGAATAGTACGTGCTCCCTCGTTGCCCCCTTGGCCGAGGGGTAGGGGGTCGGTCTATATATATACGCACACGCATATATCCGGGGGAAGGCCTCCCCTCCCCTCCTCCCCTCCCCCCCGCGTCCCGACGCCGCCGACGCCCACTCTCCCTCTTGGAAAACACAGACGCGTGCGAGAAGGATCGGGTTTAAATTCGTATACGAGGGAAACAAAACGAAACGAGTTGGTTACCCGCTTACTGACACTGAAGGGAAAACTTAAGACGATCATTGTTACGCGCCACGCACCATGCGTGATATGAAGTTCTTTCGTCACTCGAAAGAACCTCTCCTCTATAATGCGATAGTGGTTTTAGCGGTTACCTCGGAGTTCCTTTCTGAAGAAACAAGAGATGCTTCAGCACGAAACTAAACGCGAACTATCACGACAAATTATTCATCTATATTATTTTAATTAATTCATTCAGAAACTTTTGCCACTTGTCAATCCTGAACCGAAAAATTTTTACGAAAAACTACATAGATTGAGACAGATTTTAGAAATTCTTTTTCATAGATATTTGTAATGGGGCGTAGAGTGGCGTTGTTTATTTGATTTGAAAAACCAAGAAATCCTTCGCCTTCAAATAACGTTACTCTACTTCTCGTCCTACTTCGAACATCTAAGTTCCCCTTTCGAAAAACTAAGAATTTCTAAGACAAACAACCCTCACTTTGCGTCCTACTATACGAATATCTACGAAAAATTAAGAATTTTTAAAATCTGTCTCAATCTATATAGTTTTAAAACAATAATAAACTCGAACTTTCAAAATTTTAACAAAAACGGATATATGGATATATTTTAAATAAACGAACAAATGAGCCTTATAATTTTTTTGTACTTTTTCATAAAAATTTTTTTCCACCAGGAAAACAATGCAATATCTTGAAAAACATTCGAATGATTGAAGAAAATTTAAATATCTGCTGGATAAATGTTATTTGAGATAAAAAACATGTGAAAATTGATACTAACCGAGAATATTTATCCTCTTTTTAGACGCCGACATGTTTAGGAAACGAGAAACGACGAGAAATAACTATTTAGAATAGAAATAAAAGCTTATTAAAAAAAAATTAAAATATTTCTTTGTACTCCAAGATGGTCACAAATTCCTCATTCAAAAATTCTATGATTTTTTTAATCTGATTTCCAGACAAAATTACAGAATGTTCCCTAATGCTTTCAATGATACTTTGAAATATAAATACATTTTGAATATTTTTACGTATTTTGTAACAAATTTGTTATCAAGAAAAATTTATTGATTAAAGATGATAAGTTTTCAGTTTAACAATTAACAACACTTAAATAGCGAATCAAGTAACTGACGTTGATGAATCTAGCCCTCTAACTTCTTCATAGCCAAGAATTTTAATTTTTCAGAAAATTTTGCAAAATTTTCTAACTTTTCCCTGATTTCTCTGATGTTGCTAACAGAGAGTATTTATCCAGTGTCTTCTTTTAAGACACCGAAATGTTTAGAAAACGAAAAGTGACGGAAAATGATTAATCAAAGTAGAAAAAGATTTATTTTTAAAGCAATCTCCTTCACACTCCCTTACCGATCTCCCTAACTTTTTTCTGATTTACATTTTATGTTTTACGATTCCACATGTCTAGCTATAAAAAGTACGACCTACTAACGAGCGCCGAAAGGTAGAAGAAGTCGATCAGGGCCTTATGCTAAAAATCACTGCCCATATATGGACCGCTCTCTCAGGCGAGCGTCGCGTGTTCAAAGCAAGTTATTGCTTCTGTCCACCGAAAGAGTTTCTACTTATAAAGACGTGGAGACCATACTTGGACGAAAAGTCGATTACGCAAGGCTCTTACTCTTCCTTTCGCGATAGCCACGCGCGATTGGCGGGCCTTGAATACGGAATACAATCTTCGATAATGTTCGACACACGAAGATTATTCGCTCCGTCGAAGAATTCGGAGATTTAATCAGCTGTTTGTATTTCTTGATAATGACAATTAGCACTGTGAGTAAAAATAAATTCACAACCTTGTCTACGGACTTTTTGAGTATCATCTTCGATCTAACGATATTTGATAACGATATTTGATAAACATGAAAAAATATTATGTAAATCGAGCATTCAAAGTAGAAAAAAAACGTATTAAAATCTACAATAAAGAAATATGCGAAACATAATAATATACTTCGAATAAATATAAATAGGAACATAAATGTAAACTTTCTTCTATAGTTAAAATGAAAATTGTTACAAATGTGCAGCAGACTTAAAACATAAATAGTAAAAATAAAAGAGAATAATAAAAAATCTCTCTCAGAATTTTACTAAAAAGATTTAAAAATATATTTATTTCTTTTTTCAGTACAAACTAATTCAAATAAAAGTATCCTAATAAAAGTTAATCTATTTATAATTACAAAACTAAAAAGGAATATAAATGTATATATCAGATGTATATATAAATGTGTGTGTATATATATATATATATATATATATATATACACACACACATATAGGAGCAATTCAATAATGCCGCCAGATTTAATTACATGAAATAATGCAATTATTTGTTCATTACTTAACAGTGGCACGCAAAAACAAATCATATAATTGCATAAATTAACGCATGAATTATAATTAAATAACAATAAGCAAATAAGAATATCCTGCATAATTCATTGTTCGAATTAACTGTGAAATAAACTGTAAAGAGACAAATCAAGACCGAATCAAAACTTATACCTGCATTCAAGATTACTTCCGAATCTATATACCTACATTTGAAAATTAAATATCTCGGTTAGCAATTTAAATTACACAATAATGCAATGTAATAATACACATTCCGATCTCGTTTTAACAGGATTGAAATATTTCAAAATTCTAGTAATTATTTTACTTTATACCTTAGAGAATAGCAAATAGCTATGTATAATCTTCAAAATATTAATTCAATATTATATAATAAAAACGCAATCAGAATGTATGACACTGCAGATAATGAATCGAAAACGAAGTTCAACAACAATATGTAACAGTACGTAGCATTTTAACGTAAATATATGCAATACGTAAAAATCAAATACTATTAGGTGTTGGAATTAATTCGTAGCGTTTTTAATGAAAGAATGTTATTTATTTCACATGAGCATTAAAAAATACATTAATGAAAGTACTTCCCATCACTTGTAAAACGCTACGAATTAATTCCAACACCTAATATATAAAACAATCGGCGTAACATTCACATATGCTATTGTAAAAAAGTCATATAAACAATTCCTTATGCCAAGTTATTCATGTAAAGTTATTGTTTCTTTACATTAAAATCATAAGTTCCAGTCTTAAAAAAATATAAGTCGACAGTATATCGTCATACTGATATGATTATGGTTTTACAGAGATTACCGCTTTTTTTGCCGCCTCATCCAAGTTGCTCGCTGTAAGAATGGGGAATCCAGATTCAGATAAAACTTTTTTGGCTTCTGTCACATTAGTACCTGAAAAATAAATTACCAAAAAATACTTCAAATTTATTTATAAATTGGATTACAACAAACCAAATAAAAATAAATATATATAATAAAATTATAGAACTTATAAATAAAAATAATAAAAGAATTAAGCTAATAAAAAAGGAGATAAAATACTTACCTTCTAGCCTTACAACAAACGGTATTTTAAGTCCTAAATTTTGCGCTGCTGCGATAATTCCTTTCGCTATCGTTACACAATTTACAATACCTCCAAAAACATTAACGAGAATTACTTTGACTTTTGGATCTGACAAAAAAAAAAGAAATCAATTTACATTTTGTTTGTATTTAAATAATCTATGCATTATGTACCTTCACTGAGGATTCTAAATGCCTGAAAAACTTGATCCTCTTTCACATTACCGCCAATGTCTAAGAAATTAGCTGGTGATCCTCCATTCAATTTAATAATATCCATTGTAGCCATGGCTAGACCAGCTCCATTTACTACAAGTGCAAATATAAAAACATTCTTGTTTATACATAAACTGCTTATATATTAATTCTTACAGTGTGTACATAATAATACATTGTATAACAACCATATAACATTATTTTTTAATTCTCTATTTACTTATTTGTTTGAGTAATCAAAAGTAATTGTAAAAATCTGTATAAAAATGCTACTTTAATTACAAAACCTAATCAAATTCTGAGAAGTGCGGTAGATGAGTGCATTATCAAACTGTGGTACTTTTTGACACAAAATGTGAACAAAATGTAACGCTGCGTGGCAGTCAAAGATTAATGTATCAAAAATATTAATTGACAACGTACATTAATTAAGTATTTACCTAAACATCCTATATTACCATCCATGCCAATATAATTTAAATTAAATCGCGACGCGTCCACTTCTCTGGGATCTTTCTCACTGATGTCTTCTAGGGCAAATAGATCTTGTTGTCTAAATTGGGCATTATCGTCGAATGCGATTTTTGCATCAACTGCTACTACTTGCTTGTCTGTCGTTTCCACTAATGGATTTATTTCAACTTGCAGAGCATCGATATCCACAAATAATTTCCAGAGATTTTTCAATTCATATATGGCTTTTTTTAAAATATCCGTATCAGAAAATCCCAGAAAAACGCACACATCCTTTGCTATTTCGTCATCAATCCCATGATAAATGTCTAATGTAACGGTTTTGATTTGTTCAGGATATTTTTCTGCAACTGCCTCAATATCCATGCCACCTGCTGGAGATGCTATCAGCACAGGACCATTATGCTGACGATCCATGAGAATACAAACATAAGTCTCGCGCGCAATATCCACCGACTCAGCTATCATAATTTTCTGCACCAATATGCCATCTTTTGAAGTCTGTTTAGTGATGAGTCGATGACCTAACATATTCTTCACATAATTTGCAACAGCATTACGGCTATTAAAAGGGAAAGAAAAAGACTAAAATAAATCATAAAATAAAATACTATTAATGATCATAAAAAAAAGATATATAAATTACATATCATCTTTAATAAAAGAAATAGAAGAGAATAAAAATATTATCTCTTATTAATTATTTTAAATATATTTTCTAAAATCAAATAAATATTTTATTATTTGAAGAATTATAATAAATAAATTTAAAAATTTATCTATCAATAAATAAAATACTCCATCTAAGAAGTATTTTTTAAAAAATAATTAAATTATCAATACTTACTCTTTGGTAAGATGTACACCTCCCTTAAATCCATTATCGAACCAGCCTTTACCACGACCACCAGCCAAGACTTGAGCCTTGATAACAAACTCATCGGTGTCTGCAAGAAATAGAAAGCTGCAAAGTACACATAGTTATATCGGTATGTATTATGTCTTTTACGTAAATTATCAAGTTACAGATGACTCCTAACAGATAGTATTATTTTGTATGATTTAGAAAAAAAAGAAAAAGCGTAATATTGTACATTACGAGCTCTAATTCAAATGTACGTAAAGAAATGATGAGAAACATTCTGAGACACTCACGTAGCTTCTCCAAGGCGGAATTCATCTGAGTTAGGTCCTCGACTATAGTAAAATTTTGCACCGATATGCCAGAATCTCGCAGGAGTTCCTTGCTCTGGTACTCCAGTAAATTCAGGTTCCTCGCGTTCGACACGGAAATGATCCTCGTACTATTCCTGAACAGTTGCGCCGAGCGCATTGAGCGGCTGAACACTCGTAACATGGTTAACCTCCAATAACGAACGAGAAAAAAAAATTGATAATCTTGTTCTTACGAATCACAACCGAGGCGCCGACGATTTAGATAATTAATCTCTTCTTTGGAGTTGCAGTTCAACGTCACAATTAATATTGTTACCTCCTAATGTTTTGACGAGATAATAACCGGCTTTTATCAGCTGAACTTGTCTATCGCGCGTGACCACGCGTTCTAAAATCGATATCTCGAATGCAAAAAAAAAGAAAAAAGAGAAGCACACCACGTGATCTACGGCGGGCAATATGAATGGTACGAGACATCCTTTCCCTCCACGACACCAATATAAGGTATAACTTATCGTTACTAGATACAGGATACGGTCAAAGCGATGTTACAAATGCTCTGAAGCGTTTTTTGGTCAATTCATAAAATTCTTTCTTCTAATTGATCAATTTAAACGCTTCAAAGCATTTATAGTGAGACCGCAGCACTAAAATGTAGAATACATAAAAAAAGACAATATAATTGAAAATACAAATAATTACAAATAATTGAAAATATATAGGCATGTTATAAAATTGTTACAAAAAGTAAAGAACAAGTTACAATTGTAAAAAATGTATATTATATACGTGTGTGTATATATATATATATATATATATATATCTGCGATACAATACATGTACATAATAATGTATAAAACAAGAAAATACTAGATTGGAGAAATTGATATTACTACTGATGTCTATTACTTCTAATTGCTTCTAATTAAGCAACCGATATAGGTAACCAACAATTAGAGCAATTCTATCATTCTCTTATTCTTCATTATTTGCATTGCGTATGAACTAAATACTATTTACGTCAACGTGATGCTACAAATACTTTAAAGCGTTTTTTGATCGGTCAATTAATAAAATTCTTTCTTGTAATTAGTCAATCAAATGTTTCAAAGCATTTGTAGTAAGAGTTTGACTGTATACTTAAATATAATATAAATTAATAAACACATTTATGAATTTCGTTGTATACTAATATAAAAAGAAACATATCAAAACATATACGTTCTTTAAATTATTGTAGATAATACAATAATTAATGATATATAATATTTTATATCTTATAGAAGAACACTTGGTGAACACTATTGGTTTATATAAAAAAAAACTTTTCTTATATATCTTTGAATTATTCTAATACCATCACATTTTTTTATAAATTTTTTAATCAATAAATTATATATATATATATATAAAGAGAATGATATAAAATATACAAGGTTGGCAACGTTACTTCATAAAAATAACTTATTATCATTCTTTTTCCTAAAAAATAATTCATTATTGTTACTGATTTACAAAAGTAACTCGTTATCGTTATTGTCACTCAAAATGTAACGAATATTACTTTTTCATTACTTTTTTTCTTGACACTAATAGAATATTTCTAAAGCATTTTTCAATGGCAGAATTCAGTGCACATTAAACCCTTTGTACACTATTCTAATCTGAATGTAAAAATGGGATATCTCAATTGATAAAATGCTCGAAGTATATTTTATCAAATAGCATAATAAAATGTAGTGGGGATTTCGCGATTTAACTCGCTTTTATATTTTTATTAAACATATATCTTTACGTCGATTTGTGTACAACGGCTTTAAAGTGCATTATTGAGTGCACACTAGTTATGCCAATAAAAAATGCTATTATATGTATTTGGCGGTAAATATTCTGAAGAGAAGTCAGAATTCTATCTTTTAGTAGAGAAATAAAGCTCAAAAACTGATATATATATATATATATATATTTGTTTTTGAGCTTTTATCTAAAAGATAGAATTCTGACTTCTCTTCAGAATATTTACCGCAAAAATCTGCATATTGCCCTGATAAAATGCCGAGTAGGCGATTCCGAGGCATTCCTCAGTACTCATGTGGTAGTTGTGCATAGGGAGAGTTTTACAGTAGTTAGTTGGGACAGTCATCCTCAGGGATGCAGCCGCATTGAATCCTGCACGCTCAGGGTGAAATCGTTACCATTACTCCAAAAATGTTACATTACTCATTCGTTACCGAAAAAAAAACTTGTAACGACCTTACAAATAACATATTGCCAACTCTGAAAATATATATAAAGAGAATGATATAAAATGTAAAATATTAATAATATTAAATATATATAAACGCAATTAAAAAAATTGTATTATAGATATAATATTCAATTCAGTATTAATTAAAATTTTAATAATACAGTATTAGAATAATTCAATGATTAACAAATTCGCAGTATTGTCAAAATTAGCCAAGTGTTCAATCTTTATTTCTGTATATATTATATGGACGGAAAATTACGTTGCTTTCTACACTAGCACGTTACATCATTCTTATTTGTTATCAATTGTTATTAATTCTTAATCATTAGTAAATTGTGTATTAATATATATAGTATGATATTCATTAACATTAAATATATTTTTTACGAATTAATCCTTTTACGTCTTTCTGTCAAAAATTCATAATTATTTATCTCGCATTAGATCAAATGGCATCTATATATTCTGGACATGCATATTTTTGTTATCTTAGATAGATTATGTTTACAAAGCATAATAGCGTAGCATAAACATTTATTATTAATGTGCTGTTGTTTTTGTTACTAACAAGTAGAATGTCTTATAGTACAATTTGTACATTATAAAGTGAACATGTTCACCTATTTTTTATTGCTGATTTAATAATCTGAGTAGAAATTTAAATCTCAAATTTTGTATCTCTGAATTATTTTTAGATATTATTCAACGTATGTGTGATATATTCGAAATTACTTCACTTATTTCGAAAATATACCATGGAATGAGGTAGAATATTATTTTAAAATTATGAAATAAAGACTTGAAAAATTTTGAATAACGGGCATTTAACATTTGAAGTTTAGCATCTATAAAGTTTATAAGAATGACAATAAAAAGTATATATATGAATATATAAAAATATATTAGGTGTAGTAAAAAGAAATCCATTATTTTTGCAATCGATGGCTTTTCTCGTCTACGCGTGATACAGATTACTAAAGCCATCTATTGGAAAAATAATGGATTTCTTTTTACTACACCTAATATATAAATTTTGCATATGTATTTGCTACTTCGTGTATATATATATATATATATATACATAATTATATGTATGTGTATATATACATAATTATTGGATGTACAAATAATTTCCCATTGTTTTCTAATAGATATTACTAGTACTGCGTGCATGTAATTTTGTAAGATGATAACATACCAATTTCCTTGTTTTTGAACCATTCCCATCGCATGTAGACGTTGGGAAATACATTGTTGAATAACATTTAATGCTATTGCTAAATCTGTTTCTGTTTGGCACGGATCTTCATCCAGTAATATTTCCAATTCTGCATCTTCAAATTTTTTTTAGAACCTTCATCTTTCACGTCAAAATCATTACTTTTAAATTTTCTAAACCACTCTCTGCAAGTATTTTCAGCCAGACTATGTTCACTATAAGCTTTTACAAGCAAACAATAACTTTCAGCAGCAATTTTCTTTAAAATAAAATAATGCAGCAAAACTTTCCGCAAATGTCGTTTTGTTGGCACAAAATTTGACATTTTCAATAAATTGCAATAAAAAAATTTGTTGTTGAGTGCACTGCACTCTAATGTAATATACTAAATCTTAAACTTTACTTAGGTACCTAATACTTAGATATGTTACCATCTTAAATTACATGCATGCAGTACTGATAACAACTATTAGAAAACGATAAGAACTTATTTGTACACCCAATATATTAATTGCATGATAAAAAAAATACATGCGTTTGTGAGTTTTAAAGTTAAATATATATGCCGAAAAACATATATTATAGACACAGGATATGTTCCTTTCATCATATAGAATAAAAATTATGCTGAACTCACTGTGTATTATTTTTCGCAATATTTGAGTCAAATGCAGATCGGTTTCAGTCTCATAGTACCATAATTCTTCTTAAAAAATAAGTTACGGAAGTACTTGAGAGCCTATCGTTGTTAAAACGATAAGAACAAAAACGATTACATCATTAAATTACTAACGACATAGCAATATTAATTTTTAGCCCGTCAAAAATTAATCTAGCAGATCATAATATCAACTTCATTGGGTAAAAAGATCTAATTGTTAAATCTCATATAACATTTGTTTTCATTAAATACTTTAGCTTTTAAGAGAATTGTAGAAATTATGATTATTAATCATTATAGCCTTCAGTTATTAATGATGTTATATTATATGTAATCGTAGATTCGTAAAAGCAACAAGAAAATTATCCCCAGAGTGATGTCTAAGATATTACTTCCAGCGCTGCTCCTAAAAGCTTCAGTGTCACCCATTTGGAATGAATGGGTAGGACTCGACATTCGACCGTCACCACCGTTACTGAATCCGAGCACTCTTAGACGGTATCTCTTGCCTGGACTTAGATTATTGACATAAGCCTCTAGTTTAGAACCACCTGGTACTATCGTGTCATTAGCTGTGCTCATGTCTTGATCGTATTCCCATACACGTATTTTGTATCCAATCAATGGTTCTTCCTCCAGACTCGGTGTCACATAACGCCAGACGACCCTTATCGTTGATGGGTTTACACCATATATATTCACTGAGGACGGTGGTTTCTGCGGTGGTTTGCGATAAGTTCGCTCTAGGAATCGCTCACTCTCCGGACCTTCTCCGGCAGAATTATAGGCCATTACCTTTAAGAAATTTGATCCTCATTTAAATCTTCCTTACAATTTATAAGTTTGTCAATATATTTTAAATGTCTTTCTATTTATGTATTCTTTAAATAATTAATATAACATATAATAAATATTTCAAACTATTAACACTTTGTAGTTAAATTTGTTTAATATGTTATATTGTACGTGTTTTAAATTTATTAAGTATATTCTTAGTAGTTCATATAGAAATGCAAGAACTTTGTATCTTTTTCAGCTTTACCTTTACGTAATAATATGTATCTGGCTGCAATCCAACAACAAGAGACCAAGGACGAGTAGTGCGTGATAAGTAATAAGTAGCATCCTCTTCGGAAATAGTCTTCTGCCAATACTTGATTCTGTGACCGATCAGCTTGCCTCGCACTCGCTCGCGGGTCTGCTCAATAGGCTGCCAAGTAACGTTCAAGCTAGTGCTGTTGTAACTCATGGAGTACACTAATTGCGGCGCAGCTTGCGGCATGTCTTCCGCGCTGTAGACTGTCTCGATATTAGATACAGGTCCTTCGCCCATTGCATTGATCGCTTGTACTTTCACTTCGTATTCTGTGTAGTAATACTGCTGTGGAATCGGCACGACACTGCTACCGATATTACCGTATTCCTGCAGGGATAACGACTGAAATTCCTTTTCATATCCTTTGCGACGCCAGAATATCTTGTAATAGACTCCAGGACCGTTCTGATCGGACGGATTGAGAGGATCCCACGTGATCGTGAGATCACCAATTTTTCCTCCGCCACCACTAATATTCGACGGTGCTTTTGCAGGTTTATCGGACGGAGTGCTGTATCGAGGTGAGGGTAACGACGGCGGGCCGTAACCAAATTCATTAAAGGCAAGCACACGGAATTCATAAGTGGAGTAAGGATTCAGAACGTTCTCGAGATTCGCCTCTTTTCGGCCATTGTATCTATCCGCTTCAAAAGCTGTAATATCTAAAAGCAGTCATATACGTGTTCATGTTAGACTAAAAGAGAAAACAGATATAATGAAAAAGCGTTGGAATATTTAATTTAATGTTGGAAGCATCAATTAATAAATACTCATTATTGAAATCGTTTCTGTAAGAAATCATAATTATGAAATATACCGAACTTACTTTCTACGAGAGAAAACCATGTTTGATTCCAATCTGTTCGCGCACTGATTGTATACATAGTTATTGGTTTGCCATTCATGGCACCGTCGCTCCACCGTAATGTGGCTGAAGTTTTAAAGATATTCATAACTTGTACTCCACCAGGTGGTCCCGGTGGTCCCTGTACGATCAGATTAAGCTTGCTCGATATTGCGCCAACGGCGCTTTTCAAGATACATTCGTATTCACCAGCTTCAGTGAATGTAGCATTTATAATATTTAAATATTCGCCATCGATATTTAATCGCGGATTATTCTGCAAATCCTTATCACGTATACGCATACCATTATGCGTCCAGATATACGCTATATCTAACATTTCGTCAATATGACCCAAACAGTGTAATGTCAGATTATTATTATAATATAGAATTATCTGTGATGGCAATCTTTGGACAAATTGTGGTCCACCTGCATGTATAAACAATTTTATATAACAATGTGGTACAAAAGAAGGGCAAAGAGCCAGTATAATAATTTTATATAATTACATATATAAATTAAATTTATATATAAATTAATTGCTATATAGAAAACTAAAATTTTTACGATATAACGCAAATTTCAATATAAACAATATAAACAATAAATATCAAATTTACTTTTTGGTTACTGATATACAATTTAATACAATCTGTTAATATCTTTTTGCGTAAATATGTATCTTCTTATAAATTCAAGATTTCTTTGAGTATCAAATGATTGACTTACGTAGCACGATCAGTCGTCCACGGGTTTCATCATTGCCATACTGATTCGTTGCTGTGCACACGTATGTCCCTTCGTCGTCTCGTGATACCGGACTGATAATAAGATTTCCAGTTTCTAGAATTCTTCGCCTACCGCCCGATCCGATTATATTCCCATCTTTCTTCCAAATAAATTTCGGCCTAGGTGCGGCTTCGGGATTGCACATAATAGTAACGTTACCTCCTTCCGCCGCATATGTCTCAGATTCCATAGGCCGTTTCTTGAAGGAAGGTTTCAATGCTGAAACAGATATTAAAAAAAAGAGATATTATAGATAGAGATATTATATAGTGTCATATATTTACATTTAATAATACAAAGAATCTAATGATTCATTATTTTTCATTCACACTGCACAGTTGAATATTGAAAGAGAATATACAAGTACTCACACAAGACTCTAAGTTGAGCCGATGAATACGTTGTTCTCAGTTGATTCCTCGCGCAGCATTGATACATGCCCTGATCCTTTTCAGAATCCACATGATGTATATTTAGTACATTATCTTGTATAGTATAACGATCTCTCTCTTCAAGTGATAAAGAGTCCAAGAGTTTTCCGTTTTTAAACCAACTATAAGTGACATCCGGTATGCCGAATGCTTCACAGGTCCAAGTTAAATCCGCATGATCATCCATGTGCTTATCAACCAACGGGATGGTGAAATTAGGCGTCGCCTGTATGGTCAACTGCACAGAATTTTCGATGGATAGTCTGTCGTTATACACTCGGCAAACATATTCGCCTTGATCCTCTACGTGTACACGAGGTAATATCAATACCCGATTGAAATTTGCTGTATATGCTCCACGCGGCAAAATAGAACCTCTTTTTGTCCAATTGTATGATGGAACAGGACTAGGGAAATAAATTATTTATTATATTCACAAAATCCATACATAGAGAGGTGAAAACTGTAGTGATGTAAGTAACTTAATTGCAATTTCAAAAAATAAAAGATTTTTTCAATATATTTGCTTTAGTAGACTGCACCAATGATCTTAAATTGATAAGTTAAAAAAAATTCATTATCGCTTTCATCTCTTCATAGAGAAAAAACATTCGCATATATATGTAAAAGAAATATAAGACAAAGTATTGATAATAACTTACTATCCAAACGCAATGCATTCCAATCTAACAGTTTCTCCAGCTATTGGTGCTTCTGGAAACGCTTTTGGAAAATTATTAGGAAATTTCAACTGTTGGAAAGAAGCTGAAAAATTTAGAAAATTATTACTATGTCATTTTCTTTTTGTTAGATGCGTAAAATAAAATCCAAAATAATTACAGTGCATGTCCACTTTTAATGGAAAGAATGGACCATTACGTCCGATATCGAATGCAATATTCTGAACGTAGCAAGAATAATTTCCTCGATCAATTGTTTCCAAAGCAGAAAAGTAAAGCGCTCCATCATGTGAGACAAATACGCGTTTATCCTCCTCGACGAAATTGGGAAAATATTCACGCACCCAATAATATGATACATCTGGGAAATGCTGTGGTGGATCGCAGTACATTACTTTACCCCAATGATTATCTCCACGCTCTTCGGAACGTTTTAAATTAAACTCATTGATGAATCCGAATGACAGTTCAGCGCTTTCAGAAATAATTGTGCCAAATTTGTTAGTTGCCTTACAATGATACAAGCCAGAATCTATTTTCTATAAACAATGAATAATGAAATTATTGGTGTTCATTAATTTATATATTAACTTAATATATTAATTGATATATCTCAATATAAGTTTAAAAATAATATATGATATTTAAAAAAGAAACTAAAAGATCTCTTACCGAATTCGGATCATAGATGATAAGTGTTCCACCGCTCACAGTAAATTTTCTGTCTACAAGAGGATCTATTTTTATTGCAACAAGTAGATCATTTACATATGTCTCCCTGAACCATTCGTAAGTAGGTGTAGGATAACCACCTGCCAAACAGCTTAAAGAGACATCATTTCTTACATTTCTCTTTGACTGATCGAATACTTTGTTTATAGGCTGTTTTATAAAATATGGTCCCCTTGGTATTTGAAGTGGGTTGTCAATGTTGATTCCATACTGATAAGTACGATCCTCTTCCACCAAGTTGTGAAGAGTAGCAATAGGTGCTTCACAGATATACAACAATTCTTCTCTACCAGTAACCTTTTCTAGTCCCCAACGCTGGAGACTATTGGAATAGGAATACGCTAAATAATCTCTTCCTAATATATTGTCCTCAGGTAGAAAAGCATTATCCATGTTTATCAATGTCGTACTGTCTGCCTCGTTTATCCATAGGCCATTTTGGAGTTTGATTCCGGTATACCATCTGCGATGTTGTGGATCTTGCCACAATAATTGATAGAGCACGAACCCATGCTCCTCCATTGTATTAATGGTAAGCAGATCACTTTGGAATGCTTGACAATTTCTACGTGCATCTTCTCGTGGTCTCAACGGGCTTTTGACAAAACGATAACACGATTCTTGGAATTGTATCCAATGTTGGGGACACTTGTACTCTTCTCCATATAGGATATTTTGTGCAAACGCGGGAAGTGAGAGGATTAGCGAAAACACCGCAGTAATTAATAAACGAGACATCATTACGGACATTTTGTAATTATACAACAGACATTTTATAATTTCCAGATTCAAGATTCGAGTATTTTATTAATTTCTCGATTGAGAATGTCACAACATTGATACGTGACTTCGAGAAATTCAACAGAACTGACAAAGCGAAGCTCTTGAAGACACTCCCTGACGATGACACTTTGTTAATTCATGGTATTCTTGTTCGCATGTTTCAGCGGACGATAATTCGATCAAGGTATTCGCTGCAAATGTGGATATCGGATTCACTTAAATGTACTAGATCTTATGTAACGAATAAAGCTTTCGAAGAAAGATAAAATTAAAAAAATACGTTAAATAAAATCACAAGTTTTGAGTCAGCAACCTGCGACGCTACATCGCTAGCTAGACACTCCCTGTGACGAGTAACGAACAGTTACGGAATTCAACGAATATTGACGAATGTTTAATTTCCGTAATTGCATCTTACTTTACTTGTACTTTTTGCACACGAAGTGAAATAGGCATATACGTGAATTCTTTTCTCTTTCTTTTCTTTTTTTTTTCTTCAAATAAGTAAAGAAATGCCAAATATTATTGAGGTTAGATCTTGGTGTCTTAAAACATCTTAAAATATGCTCATATCAGAGTACCTAGAAATTAAGATTAAAATTGAATTGGAAGTTGGTCACCAATTAAAGTAAAGTTCATTAAACTTGAAATTATTAAATTAGTTTTCTTACTGACTAATCATTAATTTTTAATCATTATTTAATAATAGATCCCAATAATAGGTCTACTTTTTTCAGTTAAATTTTTTTGCAGTGTTAATTTTCTCTCTTTTTCTTTCCACGTTTGGAAAGAAAAGAAAAGACGAACTCTATGTAAGATAAATGGTACAAGAAATTCAGTTAAAAAGAACAGACCTTGTGAATTTTTTAATATATTTTCCAGTTTTTCAAACTTCTGTTCTTCTTTCTTATCTTTTTATTCTCTTTCCTCTTTATTTAATTTTCTTTATACATATGTATAAAGGCTCAATCGGCTGTCGTAACATGTTTGTGAATCCTGTGTTTTAAATTAGTATTAGTACAGTCGCCACTCTATATAGCGTGTCCATGATGGTGACTCGCAAAACCTCTTGAATACTCATCTTAGTAACCTCAAACTTCGAACTAGAGAATTGAAGAAGGAATCGTGTGTTTGTTTCATATATTTGTGTATAAAATAAGTGAATAAAATGCCGGAAAGCACCAAAACAGAAGCAAAACCAGTTAAAGAAGTGAAGAATGGCAAAGAAGACGATAAAAATGAACTGGTAAGAAATTAACCTGCATTGGATACTGTTGCGTTGTCATCGAACAGCGACATTTTAATATCGTTGATTAAATCTACATTTGCAATTTTTGCATCACTATATAAATAAAATTATTAATTCAACGTTTTTCCTATAATTTACATTAAATTGAAGTAGGCTATCTTTGCCTTGTAATAACTTGTTATTAGATAGTTCCTTGTAATTTCTTTTGTTTTTTTCTCTAATAGTGATCTTATTATTATGAATGTATGTATTTTTTTAAATATTAGGCAGTATATTTTGACATACAATCTAATATATTTAGAAGAGAAAGTTAGATATATATAAAACAAATAAAAATTGTATATAAAATATAAAATAAAAACTTGATTTTGTCCTTTAGTCAGAAGAAGATAAGCTTCTACAGGAAGAATTAACTTTACTTGTGGAGCGCATGCAAGATGCTAACACCAAACTGCACTATCCTGCCTTAGAATCCTTGCGTTCACATATTCGTGCATCAACAACATCAATGACAAGTGTTCCGAAGCCATTGAAATTTATGCGACCTCACTATGATACTATGAAAAATATACATGAAAAAATGACCAATGTAAAAAATAAGGAATTATGTTCAGACGTTATTTCCGTTTTGGCAATGACAATGGGCGAGGGCCGGGAGTGTTTAAAATATAGACTAATGGGTTCTGCACTGGCAATCGGTGAATGGGGACATGAATACGTTAGACATTTGTCAGGAGAACTAGCAGGAGAATGGGACGAGGTAACAGGTGACAACGTTGAAGCAACGAACAAGAAACTTATCGCTCTGGTGCACGAGATTGTACCCTACAACATGGCACATAATGCAGAAACAGAAGCATGTGACCTTCTAATGGAGATTGAGAGGTTGGACTTGCTGGAACAGTATGTTGATGAAAGTGCTTATCAGCGAGTATGTCTTTATCTTACGAGTTGCGTATCATATGTAGCTGATCCAGAGAACAGCACCCTTCTTCATGTCGCCTGCAAGTTATATCGTAAATTTGGTCAATATCCACAAGCAATTAGGCTGGCAATGCAACTGAATGATTTGCCACTTATTGAATCGATTTTCACAAACTGTCGAGATCTGTAAGTATAAAATTTACTTTTTCTGATCTTTTTGTTTAGATATTTTTTAATCCTGCGAACTGCTTCTTTTTTGAAACAAGCGAAATTTACTTTTCAATTTTACCCTGGTTTTTGTTCAAATTTCAATTTTTATTAAATAAAGGTTTTCACATTTGAGTTAAAAACTATTTGATAATGTAATAGAGATATTGAAAAGTAACCCTGAATTTTTTTGAATGTCTAGAACAGTAAAAAAATTTCAATGTCTAGACAAAAAAAGTCTAAATTACCATTGAGGTTAATAACTTAGTTTTTCTTATTATTATTATTATAATGATAATGATTGATATTTTCCAAGCACAAGGCTCAACTCTTTATGTTTGATTTTTTAGTTCTGTGCAAAAGCAACTGGCCTTTATGCTAGGTCGTCAGCAAATCTTCCTGGAACTACATGAAGCTACGATAGAAGACGATGACCTCTTTGAGATAATGTCTAACTCGCACTTGAACAATCACTTCCTGAATTTGGCACGAGAATTGGATATAATGGAGCCAAAGACACCTGAGGATGTCTATAAATCTCACTTGGAGAATTCGCGACCACCATTTGGTGGCGGTCAAGTTGATTCAGCACGGCAAAATCTTGCAGCAAGTTTCGTCAACGGTTTTGTAAACGCTGCGTTTGGCCACGATAAACTGCTGATTGAGGATGGTAACAAATGGCTATACAAAAACAAGGAGCATGGCATGCTGAGTGCGACTGCGTCCCTAGGTCTGATCTTACTATGGGACGTTGATGGTGGCTTGACGCCGATCGATAAATATTTATATTCATCGGAAGACTATATCAAATCTGGCGCTCTATTGGCTTGCGGAATTGTCAATTGCGGCGTCAGGAATGAATGTGATCCTGCCTTGGCTCTGCTTTCCGACTATGTGTTGCATAGTAGCAATACTATGCGCATTGGCGCCATTGTCGGTCTCGGTATTGCGTACGCCGGTTCAAACAGAGAAGGCGTGTTAGGTTTGCTGACACCGGTTCTCAGTGACACTAAGTCAAGCTGGGAAGTCTTGGGTATGACTGGTTTAGCATTAGGAATGGTTGCTGCCGGTTCTTGTAACGCTTATGTCACTACAGCGATTATGCACACGTTAATGGATAAGTCGGAATCTGATCTCAAAGATACATACGCGCGATTTTTGGCACTTGGTTTGGGATTGTGCTTCCTAGGTAAACAGGAAGCGGCAGAAGCTATCATAGCAGCTTTAGAGATAGTTCATGAGCCATTCAGGTCGATGTCGACAACACTGGTGGAGGTATGTGCATATGCTGGTACAGGAAATGTCCTCAAGATCCAACACTTGTTGCACATCTGCTCAGAGCACTATGAATCGAGTAACGAGAAGGAAGAAAAAAGCGAGCGTAAAGACAAAGATAAGAAAGAGGAAAAGAAGGAGGAGAAAGAGAAAGATCTCAGTTCCAGACAGGCTATCGCCGTTCTTGGCATTGCCCTGATCGCTATGGGAGAGGAGATTGGTGCCGAGATGGCTTACAGAACTTTTGGCCACTTGCTGCGTTATTGTGAACCCGTGATTCGTCGCTCGGTACCACTCGCCCTAGGTCTTATCTCTGTATCGAATCCAAAACTAAACATCTTGGATACGCTATCAAAGTTCTCGCACGATAGTGATCCCGAGGTAGCACACAACGCAATATTCGCCATGGGACTGGTCGGTGCTGGCACGAATAATGCGCGATTAGCCGCCATGCTGAGACAGCTGGCTCAATTCCACGCGAAGGATCCCAACAATCTCTTCATGGTGCGCATCGCACAAGGCTTGACGCATCTGGGTAAGGGCACGCTCACTCTGTCGCCTTATCATAGTGACAGACAGCTGCTCAGCCCTGTTGCTCTAGCCGGTCTTCTGTCGACGCTGATCGGTTTCTTGGATGTAAAAAACAGTGAGTATATATATTCTTGATGCAATAGATGCAAAGATATGTTCTTCGATAACTGTATTTCATTACTAGCAAGCAGATAAGCTATTCTTGTTACGATTTACGAAGATGTAACGAATTTGACAATCAATTTCCAGAGATCTTACAACAAAGAAGAATCTTCACTATTTTCTTATCTCTCTACAGTTGATCAATCAGTAATTCTTCAAATTCTCATAGATTTTCATATTAAAAATAATATCAGATATATTACAATATAAATAATATCAATTCTTCTCTTATAACTTACAACAAATTAATAAATAAAATTCAGGTTAATACATTAAACGAGCTATAGTTAGGTGTATTAAATAATATTTATTAATCACAAATTATAATTTTCTGACGATAAGTTTCAACAGTACATTTCAACTATATTTAGTCCTCATCAGCCGCAGAAATACATAAATATCCAAATATCTAATTATATTAACATATTATGAGGATCATCTCACATTCGAGTTACAATAGATAATATAACAGATTGCTAAGAATCATCTCAGCTTTGTGTTACAAAGGACGCAACTATATCATATGTAGTCAAATTTAATAAAAATAAACGATGTAATGAAGAGTCATGATTCCGAACCAATTCATCGGTTAAGAAACTGTGTATTCCACAATACATCTCTGATAAGTTGAAATTCTTATTCTCTGTTCTCTGTTCCTTTTATTGTGTGGAGCCGTTAAGTATTGCATAATCTTTATTCTTTATTCTTTGATAATTATTTAATTTTCTTAATTGGCATAAATTTAAAGCGTTTGTTATTTATGTTTCGCGTTGTGCTTTTGTTCTAATGAAATTTTTATACACGTACATAAAGTTATAACTTATTATCGGTTTACCATATATTTTTAAGTGTTAAAGATAATTTTAAGTTACATGTTAATGTCTTTATAGTTTCAATTTTGACGATATTCTATTTAGTTTATCTACCAATATTATTAAGGCCGTATATACAATCTTTTATATGATTTGACATCAAGCTACATTATTAATA